CTTTTGTGACTGGGATATTTCACTCAGCATAATGTTCTCCAGCGTCAACCATTTTGAATAATATTGCATGAGTTCCTTGTTTTTCAATGCAGCATCGTATTCCGTTGTGTGAATATACCACAGCTTCTCTTTTATGCTAAATTGACAGTTGAATACTTGTGGCAAAAACTTTATGCCTCATTACACTTAATATTTTATGATATCTGCCCTTTAGAGGAAAAGACTGGTGTCCCCTTAGGTTAAAGTGCGTCAGTTAATCTCTATTAAAACTCAGAATTAGCAAATTGGCTGAAGGTTTGCTTTACTATGGAAGTTTTCAGCTAAAAGTGAGATAAATTTATTTTGGGATTTATTAGCTCTAAGTCGTGGTGTTAAGATTTTATCTAAGGAATTTGGTTGCTGTCCTTAGTTCCTGAGAAATAATCTATTAATAATAGTATTTTAGAATTTGTGTCTTTTGGACATTTTTGTTTCCAGACTGAAACAGGATACCTATCTCACATCATACACAAAAAATCAACTCAAGGTGGATCAGAGACCTGGTAGTAAAGCCTACAAGGGTTACATATCGAAAGTTTGCAAAATCTTACAGGGCCTCCACAAGAAAAAAAACCCAAAACAAACAAGCTGCACAGCTATAAAATGGGTGGAAGACATGGGAAAATCTTTTCTTTTTTTTTGTTTAATAATTTTAATGAACATTTACAGAAAATTTGCATTTCCATTCATTCATTGCTGCACATCTCTACCCGCTCAGCCCTCTCCCCCCCCCCCCCAGTTCGCTCCTCTCTTTCAAAAGTACAAGAAAGACTCCCTCCCTGGTACACAATCCCCCCCATCCCTCCCACGGCCCTTAATTGTGGACTCTTGTGGTAACCATAATACCCTATCATACATCACTTTTAAATTATTGTCCCTCATCTGTTTCAGTACAGTATACAGATTTATCCAGTTTTTCTCAGTCTTACTCCCACCCTGATATCAGTTCCATTTTACAACAGTGGTACCATGCAATATTTGTCCTTGGGAAAACCTTTTCACAGAGGAAGATACTCGGATATTCGGATAGCCAACAAACATGTGAAGAAGGGCTCTAAATCATTGGCAGATCAAAACCACAGTGACATACCATCTCACTCTAGTAGCAGTGGCAAAGTTTAACAGGACAGCAAGTAATAAACATTGGAGATGATGTGGTGTGATAGGAACTCTTATACATTGTTGGTGGGATTGTACAAATTGGTACAACCACTCTGGAAGGCAATTTGGTGTTTCCTCAAAAAAGCTGAACATAAAACTTCCATATGACCCATGTATTCCACTGCTTGAAATATATCCCCAGAGAATGAGAACTGAGGCACAAATGGAGACTTGTACACCCGTGTTCATAGCAGCATTATTCACCATCACAAGAAAGTGGAAACAGCCCACATGTCCAACCACAATCAAATTGAGAAATTATGGTACATTCATAAAATGCAGTAGTATGGACCTTGCAGGAGCAATGATTTTGTAAATCACTACCCAACTTGGGAGGGATTGGAGTGCATTATGCTATGCGAACTAAATCATTCCCATAAGGACAACTACTGTATAGGACCATTATTGTAGAATGTGTATTGAGGATCCAAAGAAGGAGCAAGGTAGGAGCACAGGGTGAGGATTGGTGGGGCGTGGTGTGGTTTATCATAGAGTCCCACAGTTTGGTGAAGGGAGGGGGAGTGGGTAAATGAAGTGGGAAAGATTGGGTGTGAAAAACAATGTATATGAGCTTTTAAATCATACACTATATAATAAAAATATTATCTAAAAAAAGAAGGAGTGCTTTTGAGTTGTGATGTTGGAGATGTATACTGAATATCCCTTATACTGCTAAAAGAACAAACAAGTCTGTCTTGGAGGAAGTGCAGTTATGGTGCTTCTGAGAGGTAAGGATGGAGAAATTTCATCTCATAGACTTTGGGTATGTTTTCACAGAGGCCCGTCCTTGGAAAATGACATTATGCCAGGAAAGGTAGAGGGTCAGTGAAAGAGAGGAAAACTCTTGATAAAGTAGATTGACAAAGTGACTCTAACAGTGGACCTGAGTATAGTGGAGATTGTGAGTATAGTGTAGGATAGAAGAAGGTTCTTAGGATCACTATGAGTTATGGTCAATTTAATGGCATCTAACAATAACAGCAAACTTTGATTTTAATTTGTTTCCCTACCTTCTGGAAGGGTTAGCTGTGAGTTGGTTCTTACCGGTGTGTACTCAAAAACAACTCTTACAAAAACAACAACAGTGATTTATAGGGTACTCTTTTTGGCCTAGTGGTAAGGAGCTGTGCTGCCAACTCGAAAGCATGTGGTTTGAATCCTGCAGCATCTCTGCAGGAGAAGCATGGGCAACCTCCTGTGCTATTTGTCTCTGAAAACCCACTGGAATGTCACCTGTGGGTTGGTTTTGATTCAGTGGTACATAATAGCAACAACAACAAGAAGAACGATACATATTGAATGCATTTTCGTGTTCTTATTTGCATTTAGCTTATTTATATCAGGTCAGCTCTTCCACTTTTGAAATTGGGATGCTTGTTTTGTTACTACTAAATTTTGCAATTCTCTGTATATTATTGATTTACGTCCTTTATCTGATACTTGAATTGTGGTTTCTTGCATTGTGCTTACTCTTTCATATTATTTGAAATATATTTCAAAAAGTAGAATTTATTTTGAGGATTTCCATTTTATTTATTGTTTTATGGATTATGCTTCTGGAGATATATGTAAAAAGTATTTGTCCAAGGCAGGATTACCTTGCTTTTGCCCTGTAATATGTACCAGTGGTTTGCAGATTTTACAAAAAAGTGTGTACCATTACTGAGCTTATTTTTCATATAGTATGAAGTATGGCTCAATTTTGATAGAACTCTTGTATATGTATTAATCATAGCCAGCACAAATTGTTAAAAAATTATCTTTTAGTTGCTGAATAATCTTTGTATCTTTGTTAGAAATAATTTGTCTATGTAGATGTAGATAAATTTCTG